AGAATATTATCGAAAAATTTCTTATTCATAATTCTGAATAAAATAGCATTCATGATGCATTTTTTAACAATGGATTTTTTACAATTTTGAATTGCATAGTATTCATGGCTCATTTTAAAAGAAAAACTTTTTTTAATTTAATTGGATTGAAAAACTGCATTTCCAGAATTTTAAATTAAGCAATATTCACACACACAAAATACTATATTATTTTTAAAAAGTGTAGAAATATACTCCATACCATTCCAATAAGTGAATAAAAATGCATTCAGGATTGAAAAAATATTTATTTTAACATTTGTGAATCAATATTTCTAAAAATCTGAATCCATTTCAATTCATTTCAATCCATTCTCGTTTGCTGGGTTTGTATTACCTACGAAGAAAATGAAATAATTAATTCAATGCTTTGAATGTGCAGCATCAGAAGGTACTTGAGAGCAATATGTAGTTTAAAAACAACTTAACTTTATTTCATAAAAGTAATAATTTAATAAACAATCGTTTAAATATCTTTATATGTACAAGTGAATTGATTGCAGACTGTTTTTGTGCTGGCTGGTGGTGCGACTCGATGTAAGTATCTATCTGTGTGTGTTGGTTTTCTATACACTTGATAGCCTAAGATAACGTTTCTTAGAGACAAGAACATCTAGGAAGGAGAGTTTTCCGTTTTTCTCTATGTCTAGTGAAGTGGATGTTTGAATGTTGATTGTTGAGGAAAATAAGGAATTTATTCGAAGTTCGACTCTGCCGTGTCTCCATATCACGATTACAGGAGAAATAGGATCCTATTCATTTCTCCCATATGTCAAAGGAACAACAGATCGGATTGGCAGGATATTAAACAAACACAATATCCGAACTATCTTCAAACCCAAAAAGATAGGACAAATCCTAAGAAATCCTAAAAATCAAAGACTTCCACTCAGCTCCGCAGGAATATACAAAATATCTCGTTCCTGTGGGCAAGTATACATTGAAGAAACTGGGAGAATGGTCAAGGATAAAGGAACACGAACGTGATGTCAGGCTAAAACACGTCACGCAATCAGCATTATCAGAACACAATATCGAAACAGGACATCAAATACTGTTTGACAAAATGACCACAATAGCCAGCATTACATCATACTTTCTAAAAAAGTATAGAGAAGCGATAGAGATACAAAAACAATCTAACAATCTAAATACAGATAATGGCATAACATATTATAAATAAAATATGGGAAATCCTTCTCCCGGTTATTGAAGACTGACCGATTCCCCCACAATTCTTTTCTTTTGCCCTTACCACTCCAACAAGTAGCGTAATATAAAAAGGAACGATTCGGAGGAACAGCTCAGTATTAGGCTGCTCCTCGCCCTGATGAAGTGGACTGCAAGGTTCACGGAACGTTGGCATTCCAAGAATCTGGACACGGAGGAAATCCGCGAAACGCATAATTTTTATATAGAAAGCACCCGTGGAAGTCTCAAGAATATTATCGAAAAATTTCTTATTCATAATTCTGAATAAAATAGCATTCATGATGCATTTTTTAACAATGGATTTTTTACAATTTTGAATTGCATAGTATTCATGGCTCATTTTAAAAGAAAAACTTTTTTTAATTTAATTGGATTGAAAAACTGCATTTCCAGAATTTTAAATTAAGCAATATTCACACACACAAAATACTATATTATTTTTAAAAAGTGTAGAAATATACTCCATACCATTCCAATAAGTGAATAAAAATGCATTCAGGATTGAAAAAATATTTATTTTAACATTTGTGAATCAATATTTCTAAAAATCTGAATCCATTTCAATTCATTTCAATCCATTCTCGTTTGCTGGGTTTGTATTACCTACGAAGAAAATGAAATAATTAATTCAATGCTTTGAATGTGCAGCATCAGAAGGTACTTGAGAGCAATATGTAGTTTAAAAACAACTTAACTTTATTTCTATATATATATATATACACATATATATATATATATATATATATATATATATACAGAGTATCCCATTTTAAATGACGATCTTAAAAGAGAGTTAAAACAAATTTTCGAGGGTTTCTCGACCACTTGGGGATCGTTTTATTTGTATGTTTTCTTATGTATTTTTCTTCGTAGAAACCGAAAATAATCCTTATATAATAATAATAAATTATAGTACAATAATCATTATAGTAACCTCAGATTTAAGGAAAAATTGATATATTGAAATAAAATGAATAAAATCCTTATTCGTAGTTATAAAATCACTATCAATTATGCCTCAATGATTTAAAAATTAATTCCAAATTGGATCAAATGCGAGTAATATTGCATCACAAAACGTTAATTAGATTATATTTCTCATTAGGACATTTATTATAAAAAAATTAATAATCTTATCGCCAAATAAGATGAAAAGTTAAAAATAGATATCCGAGATACTCAAAAGCTGTCAAATGACTATGGACTGAGACAGACGAACAACTTTGTAGCGCATAAACAAACATCAAATCTATTCACATACAAGCATGAAGTCTATGAATATGTTGCTTGTTTTTCGCGCCACAAAGTCATTCGTCTATTCGAGCTCTAACGCGTACAGCTTATGGCGAGATGCTTGGAATGGGGGAAACGGTATTGAGATGACAAATAATATAATGAAAAATATAATCTAATTAACGTTTTGTGGTGCAATATTACTCGCATTTGATCCAATTTGGAATTAATTTCTAAATCATTGAAGCATAACTGACAGTGATTTCATAACGATGCAAAGGATTTTATTCATTTTATTTCAATTTTTCCTTAAGTGGCGTTATTATAATGAATATTTTTGCTTTCTACAAAGAAAAATACATAAGAAAACATACAAATAACAAAAACAATCTCCGAGTGATCAGAAAATTTTCGAAAATTTGTACCCTCTTTTCTTTTGAATAGTGCATTTTAGAAAAAAATGTTTCAAACAAAAGTTTTGTTTGACTTTGAGGAGGACATAAGATGATATCATTGGTTTGACCTTTGGCGTCATCAAGGTCAGAGCAATATCACTTTGAATTTTTTAAATGGAATCTCATATTTTTCATTGCATATTCTTGTTGCACACTTCGAGAGCTTTCCAAAATACTATAGTAAAATATTTTTTCATGAAGTACTTTTCGAATTATAAGACTTGAAAGTTACAATACCGCCTACATTGAATGTTGATCAGGATCATGTCCTGAATAACATTCATTAAGATCAAAGTTACTGGAGAGACTGTTTCTCTTATTTTCATTTTTACGTAGAAATCGAATTTTTAGTACAAAAATGAAAGTAAGCGGAACAACTTTAATGACCTTGATCTTGACAAATGTTATCCAGATCATGATCCTGAATTTAAAAGATTTTAACCATCGATCAGACACCTTGCGTAGTACTAATGTCGGCTGTACAGTAACTTTCAAACTTTATATAAATTTCTATAAATATATTGAATTTAATTATGAAAGAATGTAAGCATGGTATAACTTCCTTAATGGCGATTAATAGACCATACGAGTCTGCATCTCCAACTGAAATTGAATAACAAATTATTGGAGAAAATCAGCTTTTGCCTTGTCTAATGTTGCAATTTAAAAAAAATTTATTACAACTAATGAGATGACAATGAATTTTAAATCTACGACTGAAAATTTAGGTGACAACTCTAATTTTATAAAGTAATCGAACAAGCTAAAGTAATCGAATAAAGCAAAAAAATTTGATAATCAGTTGTTAAGACATATACACATATTATTAAAGAGGAAAGAACAATTTATATATTATCAATAGGAAAAAACAATTTATACATTATCAATTCATTAGCTAATGTTTAACTACTTTTGTACTAAAAAAATTCATTATCAGTTGATAATTTCATAATTACCAACTGACAAAAGAAGAAATGTTTGAAAATTAAAAAAGCAAGTTATTCTGATAAATTTATTAATTTAAGATTATAAACATTTAAAAAATGGCATTCACACATTAAAAATATGTTTTTTTATATTAATTATGAATTCTAATTTTAAAATAATTGTAGATATAGAATAATTTTACAAATTCCCAAAATATCTTTATATTTGATATTCAATGTTTTAGTTTACGTTTTAGGTTATATTGGATATTTTTACATGAACATGATTAATATAATTGTTATAATTAAACAGCATATTTGTTATAATTAAAAAACATATTTTATATAATACGTACATGTACACATATTTTATTAATATGAAATGATCTTCACAACAAAAATGATTCCATTTCCCTAGTTCATCAACACGATGTAAACTTTTAAACTACTTTTTTCTTACATTTTCAGCTTGAGGCACATAAAAGAACAATTTTTCCGATGTTTTAATTATTGTGCTTTTATATACAGATACAAAACACATTTTGTATGTGTTTCCTTTACTCATTTTTAAAATAAATTAATTTCTTACTGAATAATTGTGGTTTTGTCGTGAAGTGTGACGTCACAGCACGTTCGGGAAGGCTCGGTCCGGACTGTCTTCAGCATTTCAAATAATATAATACTTTATTATTTATTTTCTTAAATAATTTGCGTTAAAAACTGTTATTAAAAAATTGTAGTTAAAGATATATATATATATACATATATATAAAAATTACAAAATGTAATATTTTTCAAAAATTATGCAAACTCTCTATTATATATATGACAAAAAATCATTCCGTAATAAATATAAATTTATTTTATAGGTAAAAGATAGCACTTTAAAGTGGCATAAATGAAAATGAAAAAAAAATTTATTTTTTTAGTTACAAAAATGATAATATGGCCAAAAACGTCAATTTTGACATATTTAACTTCAATTTTTTCAAAAATCTAACAATTAGGCCAATTCCACGGCCAGATTCGTTTTCGGCGAAGAAAAATACATTAGAAAACGCTTCGTTTATTTAGGTCCTTAAAAAAAGTCTATTTTTGTATAACTATATTAACAAATAATAATAATATTATTCAGCAAATCTTCACAACGCTAGGCTATGTCCTGACAGTGCATTTTTTGCAAATGAAAACCGATAGGAACGATAGCGCCATCATAGAGGTGTATGATGGAACGGTGAGGCTTCTAGCTACTGTCAAAGTCAGAAACGGGACTTTACCGCAGAGCGTGACCTCAACCGGTCATAATCTTTTTATAAAGTTCATAGCTGAACCTCGAACTAACGCACTTGTGTTTGTACGAGTGTCATCAGGCTACAGTAAGTTTAACAAGAATTTACACATTATTCCGGATTATATTGATCTCCTATTTTTAAGTTAACAAGTTTATAAAAGATAAAAATAAGAAATAAAATGCCTTAGGCATTTAATTGTTATTTAATTTATTATCTGTGAGCCTAATTTGTTTATTTTTATTTTAATGAAAGATGTTTAACATTCTTCTTTTTCTACAGAGAAAACGTATGATCTCAATGTAACTGGTAGTACAATAACGAGTAATAACGGTCGTGGTATCATCGTGGAAAAGTTAAGATCCGCCTTGCACATTCACGAGACCTCGGTATCAGATAACAATCATGTGGCAGGCGTACACGTGTTAGGTGGCGCGATGGACGTTAACATCACCGATAGTCGTATCGCGTACAATCAAGGGGACGGTGTTAACATCACTGTTACGGGCGGCAATCGTAACGTATCGCGCAGCAGTATATCATCCAACAGCGGTTATGGTTTTGCGGTGTGGCTCAACGATAGCTCCGCCACCGAATACGTACATTTTAATCAATCAACCGTGATCGAGTACTCGCAGATATTTAGCAATAAGGACATCGGCGTTCTGGTAAGTACAAATTTATCTGTTATCCACGAAGTAAGAGAGGAGAAGACTCAACTTGATACCGTGCGAGCAGAAAAAGTGGGACTAGTTTGTCCGCCAAATTGGAAGAGAATCCGATGCGAAAACAAGTCCTAGACACAATTTGAGTGCTTTCCATTTGATGACACAAGTCAACACAAGTGTCACCCTATCTTTGTCACGTTGAGAAATTATTAAAAAATGTTGAAAATTATTCATTGAAGTGATGTCGAATCAAGTTCTTGAATTTTTTAAATTCTTTTCAACCGGTAATTCGCTTGAATCAATAATTATGGATTGATTATTTACTTTCTGTATCTCATCCAATGTGCATAGAAATGAAACATACCGATCCGGTTGAATGGATTGAAATGAATTAAAATGTATTCAGATTTTCAGAAATACGGATTTATGAATGTTAAGATAAATCCTTTTCAATCTTGAATGCATTTTCATTCATTTACAGAAATTGTATGAAACAAATGTCTATTCCTTTTCAATCTTGAATGCATTTTTATTTATTTATAGGAATGGCATGGAGTATATTTCTATGTTTTTCGAAATCTTAAAATTATCTAAAAATAATATTATAGTATTTTGTATGCATCATGAATATTATTCAATTCAAAATTTTGAATAAGAAATGCAGTTTTTAAATTCAATTCAATTAAAAAATTTTAAAAGAAAAAAAATTTTTGTTTTAAAATGGATCATGAATGCTATTCAATTCAAAATTGTGAGTGGAAAATCCATTGCTTTATTTAAAAATGCATCATGATCGAATATTACTTTATTTAGAATTATGAATAAGAAATTTGTCGTTTTAATTCAACTGAACTAAAAAAAAGTTGTACCATAAAAATATATCATGAATTCTACTTCATTTAATAGTTAAAAGAAACATAAAAAAAACTACATAAATATGTACAATAAATGTTACATATATAAATTACTTAATTTCAATTAATAAATTAATTGTTTTTATGTATATCTCATATTGATACATTTCCTTCAATATACAGCTAGTGTATATTTTTTGTATAAAAGTTTTAAAATAATAATTATAGAAGTTAGATATATATATAATTATAGAATTATAGATGTAATTACTTTAATTTATTTAAACTTTTACACATATAAAAATTTGTTATATGAAATCCAATCCATTTTTGTGGATTTAAAATATGAATTCGAGTGGATTGAAAATTTCCAATCCATTTCAATCCATTTTCATTTGCTGGGATAGGAAATACCAACTGCTAATCCGTAAAATGATCCGATCTCGGCAAGTGATATCGTTGAAAAGCATGCATCGAGATGATATACATAAGTCGTTACCTCTCCCAAACAAAAATTCCGACGTGATATACAAAGAGTGTAACATTGCGGACGTGATATACAGAGTGTGTAACATTGCGGATCTACGGCGACAAGATAATTTCTAGACATAAGGCCACGACAGTGCAGATTATATCTGGAAGTCACCCTGTTGCCGTGAATCCGTAATGTTGTATACCCAGCAAACGAGAATAGATTAAAATTTTTTTAATGCGTACTTTAAATCCATGAAAATAGATTAAATGGATTGAAATGAATTGGATCCGAGCTAATAGTAGTTTAATATTCGAAAAAAAAAACATTTATTTTTAAAGGTTACAAATTTTATTCCTAAGACATAATAAAATTTCATCCAATTGAATATAATTGAATCCAATTGAATCCAATTAAATCCAAAAAAAAGTATTCGCTATTTATATAAAATACGCATTCGGATAGAAAAAAATTTCAATCCATTTTAATCCATTCTCGTTTGCTGGAAGTAAAACTCATTCGGGAAGAAATTCATATATCTACAAGGTACGTCCCAAAATTTTCCGAACTTTTGAAATAAAACAACAACGGTTTACTTTTTTTTTCAAATTCAAATTGTTTATTCAAAGTAGTCCCCGTCGGACTCAATACAACGTTTGGCACGATCTAAAAGCATTTCAAATGAGTGTTTTATGTCGTTCAAAGGCACGTCCTTCAGAATAGTGGTACAAGCCCTTTGGATGTCTTCTACGTCCACATACCGCTTTCCTTTCATGGACAAATGCATTTTGCCGAATAGGTAGAAGTCACAAGGTGCCATATCAGGCGAATACGGGGAATGGTTGATTGTTAAAATGTGATTTTTAGTCAAAAAATCAGTGACAAGTGTCGAACGGTGAGATGGCGCATTATCGTGTAACAAGCGCCAACTTCCTCCTTCGCGATATTCTGGCCGAATACGACGAATGCGGTGCACCAAACGCTTCAAAACGCTTACATAGAATACAGCATTAACTGTTTGGCCTGCTGGAACGAATTCTTTGTGCACAATACCCTTGGAATCATAAAAACAAATGAGCATTGTCTTCACTTTTGACTTCTCTAAACGCGATTTTTTGGGTTTTGGGTCGTTTCGCGCCTTCCATTCCGCGCTTTGACGCTTGGTTTCTGGATCGTATTGAAAACACCACGTCTCGTCACCAGTAACAATGCTATAAAGGAAGTTTTGGTCCTTTTTTGCTTCCTTAATAATGTCCTTTGAATGTTGAATTCGATGCATTTTTTGGTCGTCAGTCAACTTGTGTGGAACAAATCGTGCACAGACTTTTTGTAGGCCCAAATGTTCGGTCAAAATGCGATAAATCGTTGATTTGGGGATGTTCAATTCCATTTCCATGTATCTCACTGAAGATTTTGGCTCATGCTTGATGAAATTACGCACAACTTCGATGGAATTTTCGTTAATTGTCGATTTTGGGCGACCTGTATGTGCGTCGTCATTTATGTCCTCACGACCGTTCTTGAATCGCGTATACCACTCATAAACACTGGCACGGGCTACACAATTATCACCATAAACTTGTTTCATCAAATTATGGGTTTCGGTAAATGTTTTACCAAGTTTAAAACACAACTAACTATTGGCTCTTTGTTCGAAGTTCATTCTCGTACCGATGTATACAACATACTGACACTTAAGACGCCATAACTTCGTTTCCACTGAACCAAATGTCATGAAATTTTTACTGGAAGTCAGCTAGGGATGTACCTTTCAAACACGCAATCGAACACACGGATGGCGCCACCCGACCTATCCCTATTGAAAAAGTTCGGAAAATTTTGGGACGCACCTTGTATGATTATTTTGGTGCATACTTTCTAATGATAAAATACTTTCTGGGATCGCAGATTACCATTTCATATCTGAATCTATATTGAACAGAGTTCACATTATTATACTTATCTAAAGGTATAGAAACGGATTCAGTGTATTCAGTCTCTACGAAATTCAATACTTTTTTCGCGAATAACGCAGATTCGAAAATTTGATTTATATAGGTTTATCCAATACAATCCATTCTCATTTGCTGGGACGTTCTCTGAGGGTTTAATTCATTCTCGTTTGCTGGGTCAACACAAGTCGACACAAGCGTTCTATCCTTCTTGACATTCCAAGTTACGCATGAAGCACATGATACATCATTTATCTTTGTTGTTCACCAAATAATAAAGAAAGATAAAAAAACGATACATCATGCGCTTCATGCGTAACTCGGAATGTCAAGAAGGATAGAACGACACTTGTGTCGACTTGTGTCGACTCAGCAAACGAGAATGAATTGAAATGGATTGGAAATTTGCCATCCGCGAATCCATATTTTAAATCCAAAAATGAATTGAATTCCATATAAAAAATTTTTACATGTAAAAGTTTAAATAAATTAAAGTAGTAATTACATGAAATTATATAGTTATTATTTTAAAACTTTTATATAAAAAATATATGCTAGTTGTATAATAAAGGAAACGTATTAATATAAAATATACATAAAAGCAATTAATTTAGTAATTAAAAATAAGGAATTTACATATGTAACATTTATTGTACATATTTACGTTCTTTATATTTCTTTTAAATGTTTCTTTTAAATTTCTATTAAATGAAGTAAAATTCATGATATTAGGTGTATAAATAAGTTTCCACCGTTTAACAAAAGACGGCGCCACTAGCAAGTTATGATTAAAATTGTCTAATGTAAAACATTATATCATAAGATTGGACATCTGTCAACAACATAATCTTGAAATACTAACGATTTTGTATCAGCATCATATATTTTTTTTGTGCGAAAATGCCAAGTTTTGAGTCGAATAAACGTCATTTGCGGACACTTTTGATTTACTTCTTTAATTTGAAGAAATCTGCAGCTGAGGTTCATCGATTGCTTGTAGAAGCATATGGTGAGGCTGCCTTAAGTGAGAGAAGTTGTCGTGAATGGTTTCAAAAATTTAAGAACGGTGAATTTGACGTCGAAGACAAAGAACGTAGCGGAAGGCCGAAAGTGTACGAAGACGCGGAATTGGAAGCATTATTGAATGAAGATTCGTGCCAAACGCAAAAAGTAGTGGCTAGCGATGGACAATAAAAAATACTTTCAATAAAACATTATGTATCGTTCTTTCACAATAAATGCTTAATTTTTTATTAAAAACGGCGGAAACTTATTTGTACACCTAATATATTTTTACGGTACAACTTTTTTTTAACTCAGTTGAATTAAAACGAAAAATTTCTTATTCATAATTCTAAATAAAATAGCACTCGTGATACATTTTTAAATGAAATAATGGATTTTCTACTTACAATTTTGAATAGTATTCATAATCCATTTTAAGAAAATGGATCATTAAAAAAAAACTTTTTTATTCAATTGAATTAAACTGCACTTCCTATTCAGAATTTTGAATTTAGCAGTATTCACAATGCATAGAAATGGCTAATATTATTTTTAGATTCAACTAGACTGAAAAACTGCATTTCCTCTATTCAGAATTTTAAATTAAGCAATATTCATAATGCACACAGAAATGGCCAATATTATTTTTATATTGAAAAGCATAGAAATATACTCCATGCCATTCTTATAAATGAATAAAAATGCATTCGAGATTGAAAAGGATTCATAACATGAATGTTTCAAAATAATATTTTAATTGTAACATTCACGTGGCGTTCCAATAATGTTACATCTTGGCTATTACAGGGTGGGCCATCTATTGGTACGTTTTTGAATTTCGTCGTATGGCAACACTGAACGAGCTACAGACCCGAAATTTTGACAGTTTATTAGTCATACCGTCCGCGGCACGAAACAACATGTTTTCTCTTGAAGAGCGTTTTGAAATTTTAAAAACTTATTTTCAAAGTCAGTGCTGTGTCGCCGAAACTGTACGAATTTTGAAAAGAAATATGGGTCGTGATAGAGCACCCACCGAAGGAGCTATACGCAAATTGGTGAGGAAAGTTCGTGAGAAAGGGATGTTAGTGGATGACATTATATTACGACTGTTTTGAGTGAAATTGGCGCCGAGGTAGTCCAAAATGTCATTAATAATTGGGGTGACCGAATGGCATACTGTAAGGCCAGTAGAGGGAGCCACATGAACGAAATCGTTTTTCATTCTTGACGCGGATACTTTTAGCTTCACAACAAAAAAAAAATTAATAAAAAATATCAATGTATGCTCATTTGATCGCATTTTTAAAAACGTACCAATAGATGGCCCACCCTGTATTTCAATAATTTGAGATATTAAAAAAGAAATGTTTAGCAAGGAACGTTTCATTTGGGTTTTGTTTATAACGTTCAAACCCAGCAAATGAGAATGGATTAAAATGGATTAAAATTTTTTTAATTCGTACTTTAAATCCATGAAAATGGATTGAATGGATGGAAATGGATTGGATTCAAGCTGATACTAGTTTAATATTCAAAAAAAAAATATTTAAGAGTTACAAATTTTATTCCTAAGATATTTAAAATAATTACTGGAAATTAACTACTTCAAATTGATATTAAAAAAACGCACCTTAGTGGGATTCGAGAGACCTGAGATCTCTGGATTAAGTGTGTGTGAGTCTTCTACGTTACCCACTATATTACTTTTTCAATCATCTTGGTAAATATATTATTTATTCTCTACTTCAATTACAATCAGCTAAACTAGTGCACAAAATTATATAAATATAATAAAAATATCATAATTTTAACAGCTATAATAAAAATATCATAATTTAACAGATATAATAAAATATACATAATTTACACTATGAGACAACATTGGGTAAGTGTCGGATAATTTAATCTCGCTTGACCGATATCGCGCGCCATGATTAGTCTAATATTCGGGCTGTGTCCGACTTAGTTTGCGATCACATGTTTGTGTTCACATCGATCATTCATTTTACTTCTAATCAAAGAGAACAAAAGAACATAGCTCAATTATTTTTACATTACAACTTTTATGAACTTATTGTTAGTTGGATTAAAACGAAAAATTTTCAACTTATAATTTTGAATAATTTAAGTAGCATTTATAGTTCATTTTTAAACAAAAATTTAAAAGTTTTTTTTTATTAGATTGAAAAACTATTATTTGAAAAGCATTTCATATTCAAAATATTGAATTGTATATTGAGAATATTGAGTAGTATTCACGTTGCACAAAAATTGCTGATATTATTTTTGAATTTAACTGAATTAAAAAAACTGTACTTTCTATTCACAATTCTGAATTGAGTAGTATTCACGATGCACAGAAAAATGCTAATATTATTTTTAAATTGAAAGACATAGAGGTATGCTCTATGCAATTTCTATAAATAAATAAAAATGCATTCAGAATTGAAAAGGCATAGAGATTTACTTTATTCAATTCCTATAAATGAATAAAAATGCATTCAGGGTTGAAATGCATTCATTTTAACATTCATGAATCCGTATTTCTGAAAATCTGAATCCATTTTAATCCATTTCAATTCATTCTCGTTTGCTGGGAAGACATTACAACAATGTCACATTTATAAAACATGTATTTTAAGATGTTCCATAAACGTTTCATTTAGGATGTTTGGCTTATAACGTTTGATGACATTACAGCAATGCTATATTTACGATAATACTGAAACATCAATTTTACAATATTCCATATGAAACATTTATTTTGGGACACATTGACAGACATTACACTGCAGATTTTTGTACGTATATATGCAAACGTTTTTGAAATTACCTAATTTTTTACGGAAGCTTTTTAACAAATAAGATATGTACGTTTATGATTAGGGACGACGAAGAAAGGGAAGAGTATGATGTCATTTTGGTCGAGTTCAAACCGGCAAAGGCATTCGCTTGCCGAGCGAATGAGCGTGACTAATTCTTACCTATGGATCCAATCAATCATGTTTAATTGCTCGGCGAGCAGACCTAGTCGCTTTATCGATTTGAACGCGCTCATTGACTTTCTCTTATCGCTCGTTTCTCTAGTGTAAAAAATTTAGATGAAATAGGCACAATAGAGAAATTATCAGCGTCAGGGCTGTGTGGTTCAGTGGCAGGATGGAAATCTACTAATATGAGGAGGCCTCGGTTCTACTTCTCTTTTCCGATGTATTTTTTCCCCTTTACATCCACGAATCCAACATGAGACCTTTGCAATTTCAAAGATTGTATATATTCGCACAAGGATATAAAATATCAGGAAATACCAATCAATCCGGAAAATAAAGTGAAGTAAGGTTGATATTACAAATGTCTAAATTAGTAAGTTATTCTTTTCAGTGGATTCTCTCCCAATACGAAACAGTCTCATTTTTCTTCACGGAGTTGAGTTTCCTCCCTTATTACTTCATGCTATCACTGTATAAATTAAATCCCAAATTTTAGTAAAACTTAAAATTTGTATGTAAATAAAGTTTATCATGTTTTTTTAATAAAAAAATATAAAAATTGTTATAATTAAAATTTCATCTATTGATATGTGTTAGGATTTACTAAAGTTATATAGGAAAAGTCAAAATAGCTAGAAGATTAGCCATATAAACATATTCGAATCAAAATAATTAAACATTGTGATTGCATAAGAATTCAATGTTTACTTATCAATATATTAATATTTTTGTTAAATTAATTGAACGGAAATTTTTTTAGAAAGCAGATTGAACAGTCAGAATAGATCTTATTGAAAATTAAAAACGTTCTAAAAATGCATATTTATTTGTGCATATTTGCATATTTTATACATATTTACATCATTTGTTTATTATAATTGTTTATTATTGTTTATTGTATAATTTAAATTATTAATTATACTTCTTAAAATATTATATTGTATTTTATTTTACAAATTATAATTTAAATTTTAAACTTATAAAAAATATGAAAATTATTTATTTAATTTCAGAGATGAATAACATTAATATAATAACATTATTAATGTTATTACATTAATATTATTATAATATAAATAAAATAATTAATATAAAGAAACATATTTTAATATGTTTCTTGCACATGTAATGCATATTATTTTATATAAATTTTATATAAAAAATGCATATTGTATACGTTGCAGTATAAATATATTATAGATATTGTAAACAATCTAATTCTTAATTATTAATTGTTTTTTTAATAATAAATATCTGCGTAAAAATCCAATGTCTTACGGATGAGTTTGTCGTGGAAGATGCGTTTTATTTCTATGCAAAAAGCTTTCATAACTTAATTAATATCTGCTTTTTCTTCAGTATCATTCAATTCATTTAATTTTGTCTAAAATAATAAGAAACATATAAGCGCATTTAGCTTCACATCTTTTTTATTTTTTATTCTTATTTCTTGTGTAATAAAGCTATGCATCTTAAAGTTTTCAAAACAGTTTTAGGAAGCTCTAATATTTATATATCAATATTATAAAATATCTATAACAACTGGTTTTTTAACTCTTAATTACCAGAGGAACTTGAGTCTTAAGATTTTACATACGAATACTAAGTTTTACTAAAATTCAAAGTTTTACGGTGTGTATAGATTTTAATTATTGCCCTGTAATTATAATTGAATAACTGATTATTATTACAATATTGCTATATACATGAATTAATCTCGATATTCCTTCGATCAATAGATCGGTAATTCAACCGGCAACTCGTACGTAAATGTAACTGGCAATTGGTTTAACACCAGCTTTGAAACGGCGCTGCAAGTGGAATCCAGTTGGAGAAAAGACAATGGATTAATGAGAGTGCAGATCGGGCACAACTCATTCATAAGGAATGAGAAGTTAGGAATCAAACTGAGCCCAGCGCTCAATCTCGACGCTATTATAGAGTACAATCATTTTGTAGATCAAGCAACCGGCGCAATTCTAATAAAAAATCCACTCTACGAAGAATTTAACATTTTACCCGCGGAGATCGTGATCCGATATAATGAATTCTATAACAACCAAGGTACCTTTATAGTCAGCATCGGCTTATCGCCTTACAACGACGCGCAAAAGTTACTGTTCACAAGAAACTTCCTGAAACATAATCGTGTTCGGGAATTGTTCGACAACGGCGATATGCGGAATGTCAAACTGATACCGCGCTCCAGAGTAGCTGCTGTCGTTGTCGTATCTTCGAGCAATGTTCACGTTTTCCGTAACATCTTAAACAATCTCGATTCGCGTTACGAGATTGGCTCTCATCTGGAAGATCAGAGTAAAGTTATCAATTGCACGTATAACTGGCTAGGATCTGCGGAAGAAAAGATAATATTCGATCGATTATTTCATAGGTATGTCTGATTAACATTTTTTAATTCTTGCAATAGAGTAAATAATAATAAAAATATAATCATGTTATTTAGGAAGGACAGATATAATCTCGCCAAGATCGAGTATTTGCCTTACTTGTTGCACAACAGTAATCCCGGTGCGAATACCATCATTCCGAATCCGACATTCGTGCCGCAATTTATCAGGTCTGACTCGAACGAAGTCGGAGGTGAGGTTGATGGCCAGGAGGAATTAAAAGCCGGAGAGTACATTGTCAAGCGTGATATCAATGTAAGACCAGGCGGCAAACTAATATTGCAACCGGGCGTTACGTTACGCTTCCCACCGGCCGTAGGAATGATGATCGCCGGCAAATTTGACGCGCGCGGCAAGAAACCCAGTGATATCTTATTCACTCTCAAGGAGGAGCTCGTTATGTTATCAAATAACGATACTTTTACAGATGAGAATATTCAAGTCCATGAGACAGAATCTATGCCAGTGAGGCTTCTTGGTGGAAAAACGAATCTTGAAGGGAGATTGCAGGTAATTCACTGTATTATCTTTATTTTTTTAAACGTAATTTGTATTTAAGGAGTTAATTTATCGAATTGTATAAATTTTACAACAAATATTAATGAATAGTGCTGTTCAAATGATGAAATAGAGAAAAAAATTACAATCTACATGATCTTTAATTGTTCTTTTATTCTGAAAGGTAAAAATTGGAAATGAATGGGGCACTGTGTGTAATTATGGATGGACAATTCAGGATGCAGCACTCGTTTGCCATCAGTTAGGCTTTATCCTCGACTTCGAGAATTGGCTTATGGAACGATCGCAAATTCCGAATGCAGGGATCAATGAGAAGATACTCCTCAGCAATGTGCGCTGTACCGAGTACGACAATGATATAACTAAATGTCGAGCGGAAAGGGAACAAGATTTTGAAAACTCGTGTACTCATGAGAATGACGTTGGTGTCAGGTGTCTGGAGGCGGCATGGGCTGGTCTCAGATTAGGACCACTGGCTCAAAGAAGCGACTTGCAGTACGTGACGATTGAAAAGGCAGGCTTGCTGGATTACAAAACTAATTCATTTAAACCAGGTAATTTTTTAGATTCTTTAAAGGTTTTCTTAATAATCAGTCGCGCGAATTATTACTTTACGTTGTTTATTTGTATAATAGCTTTGGAAATTGATTTTGCTCGGCATTCACTGAACGGTATCAAGGTCTTGAACAATCTGCAAGACGGCTTAGGAGTTCTGTATTCAGACATATATTCGGCGGACGCGATAAACACTGTGACGAATAGCGACTTCTCTCAAAACGGCGGGAGCGGCATCAGTTTCAAGCAATTAGGTATGCGGATTGTTAATTCACGAATCGAAAACAACAAGATCGCGGGAATAAGACACAATCCCGCTCTCTCGGCTGTTCAGCAAAGAGAATTCGCGGGATGGTTCCTGCGGAAATCGGACACCACAGTCGACTCACCGTACAATCCGATAATCTTGCCTGAAACGACTGAGAACATCGAACTTGCTAATGGAGAGACCAAATACATTATCACGACTAAAGTAACCAGTGACTCTGTCCGTCGTATCATCAACATTGAAGTATAAATTCTTTTTCTTCTCGCAAGAAGTATTTTGTTGTCATAGTTGAACTAAATTTTATCCAAATTATAGTGCAAACCAAGCTATGTCATCGGTATCCAATTATTGAATCCGATTGAAAATCGAAGTACGGAACAAATTATACTGCACGACTCGCAGCATTTCGACATAAATCAGACTGTTTGGCACGTAAAACGGGATCTGAGTGTTTTCCCCGTCTCGTCTAGTTCCTTTGTAGTACTTTTGGAGTATGATAGCGGTGAGAATGCTCTCGGTGGAACTGTCATAGTTGTCACGTCGCTCTCGGCTCCAAGACAGGTATATATTTTAAGTATAAATATTACATTAATAGAGATGTTGTTAAATTAAATGTTCTCAATCAAATTATTAGGTGTTGGAATTAATTCGTAGCGTTTTTTAATGAAAGAATGTTATTTATTTCACATGAGCATTAAAAAATACATTAATGAAAGTACTTCCCATCACTTGTAAAACGCTACGAATTAATTCCAACACCTAATAATTTAAACCAATTTTTCTTAAGTTAAATAACATCTTGTTATTTTAAACTTCCAATGCCGAATTGTATTATTTTGACAAAACATGTGATTAAAAAACAACCACAACTAATCAATCCATTTCTGTGATTAAATTGCTTAGTTTCAAAGTAAAGCGTTTATATTAACTTACGCACTTAGTATATAATACATTAAATTTGAATCAAAATGTTTGAATCAATTGTCTAAATAATAAGATAAACTGCTACATGGATAAATCAAATAAGTACTTTGAAAAAAGTCAATGCAGTCGAGGTTAGATAATGCCTAATAATATATATTTTTTCATGTAAATTCTGAATTCGTAATGTTGGACAATTGAAACACGATCATATAAATTGAAGCTAAAATAATAATATCACAATTAATTGATTTGATAATGCTGCTACTAGCATTTAAAAAATCTGAACCTGAACTTACTGTTTTTAGGTAAATTAATGACATATTGTGACGTTTAGGAATGATTAAAAATAACTCAAGTTATATATTGATATAATTTTACATTATGAATTTAACGATGTAACATTGATTTTATGTTAATGTTGTGGATTGTAATTTACAGAATATTCACAATAAAATAGTCAACGGTCCTATTCCTTTGCTATCTGTCACAAAGACAAAGATCAAGAACAATAAGAAAGGTGTGCTCGCGTCCTACTACAATCGATACCTGAATGAGATCGGATATCATTTTCTACGGAAAGCCAATGAGACTATTCAACTAGTCGAATGCGAGATATCACACAATCATGAAGAAGCCGTTTACGTGCATTCGCCTTATTGGAATATCTTCCAATCGAACCTGTCCGAGATTTCGATACATATAAATAACAGCTTGATCACAGACAACGGTAAAGGGATACATCAGTTCAGCCGCGATGCAAGACACTCCAACAATCTCTTCCACTGGATAATGCAGGATAGCACAATTGAAAGAAATCATGGCGGTGGATTCGAGGTGTTGTTACCAGATGTCTGGCAGTACAACGAGAACTTCACACACTCTCTATACTTTGGGAACAACACCTGGCGTAACAACGAACAATTTGGCTTTGTAGTGGACGGACATTTCGCACACCTTAATATATCCTATAATCGTTTCGACAGCAATCGCTGTAAGACCGGTTTAATATCCATGCGTGGAATGGAAAAGAAGATCAGAATCGATAATAATTATATCGAGGATAATAATGGTATGTACATGGTTGAATTCCGAGCGAACAGCCAGTCCGAAATCCTCGGTGACATTTACGCTCGTTTCTATCGCAACGAGATTAAGCGAAATATGTACGACCTCAGCAATTTGGGATCACGTCGAACGTTTGACGATCCCAGCTATGTCGTCGGCTTCCACGGCATACAGAAAGTACAAGTACATAAAAATCTCTTCGGCGAGAACTCGCTGGATTATGAGTTATTGGCAGGTATCAGGACAGCCAAGATCAACAACGAAGTAGATGTCAGGGAGAATTGGTGGGGTACTGCTAACGACACCTCTATCAGGTAATTTCTTATAAACATACGATTTATATCTTTTACATTTGCATTCGATTCAGAGCTCATTAATTAGTTTATTTTTATGTTCTTCCGCAGACAGAGGATTTTCGACTTCGACGATTGGAACGATCACGCTGTGGCCAACTATCGGCCGTACTTGACGAGCGATTCGTTTGAAGCGTCTACTTCCGCGTGGCGGCATATAAATCGCGAGATTGACCTGAACAATTTGGGCGGTCGCATAGTGGACAATCTGTCGCTGTATGCGAAACCCGAGCCCTACGTCATACATTCTGATATCACGGTTATGCCGGAAGCTACTCTCCATATCTACCCCGACGTCGTAATGGAATTCGCTCCTAACGTTGGCATCCTAGTCCTGGGAACGCTGAAAGCCATTGGCGTACCCGGTCACGAGATCATAATGAGACCGATAAAACGAATTGACGCGAGCGCAAATTCTACGTTTTCCAAACTGACGCCGATGAAAAGTTCCACTAATATCATGTCAATGCCGGACGAGATGATTCGTTTATGCAAGGATGGACATTGTTCCGTATTGCACTATGAAGGTAGAAAAACTAAAAGCTATTATAAAAGAATTTATTTATTGAAATAGTCTTATTATTTGAATAGTCTGTATGCAAAAATAACTATCCAACAACATAAAAAAATTAAATTAATATTGGAATCCTGGATCTTTCAGCTCCTTGGTTACGAATTGAACGTTTTAAAAATGTTGAAACAATTACAAACTCTATAAAATTAAAGAAGCAAAAACGAGTCTAATCGCAAAAGAAGTTAAATCCCTAAATCCCTACTCTATTGCAAGTGCAGTTACTTATTAGCAGTTATTTATTAGTCATATTTAATAAAAATGACTAATAAATAACTGCTAATAAGTAACTGCACTTGCAATAGACATTATGTTCCAAAATCAATTAAAATTCTTCCATCAGAATTGCTGTACAAAAGCAGTCATTCTACTTTAATAAATGGAAATTGTATTGTTATTTCTCATATTATCCCAGCAAACGAGAATGGATTAAAATGGATTGAAATTTTTTTCTATCCGAATTTTAAATAGCGAATACTTTTTTTTTAATTTAATTGGATTCAATTGGATTCAATTAGATTCAGTTGGATGCAATTGGATTGAAAAACTGCATTTCCTATTCAAAATTTTGAATTGAACAGTATTCACAATTGTGTTTGTGTGCACAGAAAAAGCTAATATTATTTTTAGATTGAAAGACATAGAAATATGCTTCATGCAATTCTTATAAATGAATAAAAATGCATTCAGAATTGAAAATCTGAATCCATTTCAATTCATTTCAATCTATTCTCGTTTGCTGGGATATTATACGCTTTTAGTTTTGTTAATTAAAATAATAAATTTTTCTTAATTTCTTAAAGAAATAATTAAAATTAATTTAAATTTCTTAAGGTCTTAAAGAAAGACCTTAATGATAAAATTGAATGCGAAAAATTATACAAGTTTTGCTCTTGCCAGAAAAAAATTCGAGTGAAAATAACGACTGTCTACTTTTGCCAATAGGTTATTCAGCTTTATTAGCTTTATTAGGTAGTACACTTTCTACCTTTCTTATATAATATATTTTCTACCTTCTCGTTTCACTCAGTTTCTCTTATTTTTTATATTATATTATATATATACATATATTGTATATATTATAAATATGTATATTATCATTTGCATATATTTAACTGCATTTTTTTCTCTTGTAACAGGATTCCTAGAGTACTTCAACAGAACGACTCTCCAGTGGATCCCATTGTGCGATGATCGGTTTACCGAACGCAACGCTCAAGTAGCATGCCGACAACTCGGTTACGACACTCTCAACGTTTACGTATCGTACGATCGTAGATATGAGCTTCATCCCGGATCGTTGACGCGTGTCTGGTCTTGGCCCGAACCACTGCAGGTATGATTGATTTTGTTTCTTATTTATTTCAAGAGATCATTAAACATTGAACGTTTTATAGTGTTCCGGGAAAGAGCAAAGTCTCGAGGACTGTCAGATCAGATTGAACGGTCAGTTGTTCGGTCATCGTCATGAGTGCCCGTGGAACGGAAACTTCGTTTTCCTGCATTGCGGAAAGCGAAATTTAGACGATGCGTACGATTACTGGGGCGGAATACGCATCGCGAACAGTGAATTCGAAGCTCATCTCTACGAACATCACATCCACGACATCGTGACTCATGAAACAATTAGGCGCGTCGAATCGGTTCTCAAATTCATCAATATAACCGGTGCTGGGATTTTACATTATGAGAAATCGGCCGCTATACAGTCGATTATGAAGTCTCCGGCAATAGTGCACGTAAACATAGATCACAGCGCTTATCACGGCATAAATGTCGTATCTCCAACGCACATGGTATGCAAAGAAACGCAAAGCGGAGTTTTATACTAATTCATATTTGTGTAAATAAAATCACATATATTTATGTATATTACAGGTGGAGTTATTATTCAACACAATTAACAATGTCCTCGGCAACGGCGTGAATATATTATCCTTGACGGGAGAAGGCCGCGAGTCAGATGAGAGCACGTTCACGCCTATTAAGGATCTTAATGTTCCTTATCATTTATTTAGTATGGTCGATATATGCGATACTGCAAAAGAAATTACAATCGAGGAGCGCGTAATCGTATACTACAAATACGATAATTATCCTGTAAATTGCGTGAAGATCTTCCGCAGTGCTTACAGAGTCAAACCGTTTGGATTCAGGTACATGCAGAATTCTTTTTCGTGTCCACGAAAATGATTTGAAGCTAATATCTTTAATTTCCAGGCTTTTGCAATTTAATCTTTATAACTCCACTGGCAAGCCAGGCCGGCATGATAGTATAACAATATACGACGGAGACATTTACAATATCAGCACCAAAGTGATTGGTCATTTGGAAGTTAATACTCCTGATGAGAAAAAATTGTTCAGAACACAGAATCCTAGTATTAGCATTAGATTATTTGCTAACGGCGCTAGTAAATATCTGCTATTGGTTTTAGTAAGTAATCTCAATGTATAACATTTTATTAGCAACAAAGAATAACAAACTCCTTGTATGCCTATTTCGGATTACTCTTCTGTAATTCTTTTACTTTTGTGATTGGCAGATCGCGATGTACAGCACAACGTTTCTTACTCTTTGATATCGAACTGTCGCGAAGGGGCCGTAAAATATGCAAGCGCCGGCGAAGTGAATGCCATAATAACGCTCGAGCGTAATCAGTTTGTGAATAATTGCGAGAAACTATACGGTAACTTCACCACGTGTAAATCCGCACTGTGGCTCGACGTCCAAAATACGCAATTGCTGCATTTCAGAGTAAGTACCATGTACGCTTAAGAGTGTCTTACATATTTTCAAAATAAAAAAATTATAGATCATTTTAGATCGCATTTAAAAATAATATAAAAAAATTTAGTAATTTAGTGATAGGTTTGTACAACTTGGATCAAAAATTATTTTAATAAGAAGTAGTAGTTTTTTTTATCTGTGCTCTCTAATCAATTCTATAATAGAAATGTATTATAAAATAATCATAAAAATTTAAATTTTTTTTATATATGTATATATAAGTACTTTAAGTATTGGAAAAAAACTTTTTTTATTTATTTACATCATTTGTTATTATTTTTTGTTGTAGTAATATAAAATTTAGAAAATAACACAAAAACTCATATTTTTTATATAAGTACTTAAGTATTTAAAATAATGTATTAAGTTTTATTGTACTGTAGAGATTCGTTTTTCTATAAATAAAATTTACTTATTTACAGAACAACTAATCTCTGCATCGCAATGAAATTTTACATAAATCATTTTGAATGGTTAAAATACTTAAAAAAATTAAATTTCTTATCATTTTTTTAAATTTCAGTATTAATATTATTACAAAAAATAATAGCAAATAAAATAAATAGATTGTAAAAATGTATAGTTTAATAAAAATATATAGAATATTACAAACATAATTTTCACACACACGCGCGCGTGCGCGCGCAGAATACCCCATCTTAATTGCCCCAGACAAATAATCATTAATATACATCGTGGTTTTTGACATCCTTAGTACATGATGAGTTTATTGTGTCCTGGCTTAATTTCATCATTTTTACAAATATATAAAAATTATTAAGCGATTTTTACGTATATTTTAACATTTTTAAAAAGCATTGGTAAAGTCGTATATTTATAACAAATTAAATATAAATTGTTATAACTAAATATATCTAGTCAACAAAATGAGAAAAATGCACTTTTTCATGTAAAAATATAAAACTCTGAAACACAAATGTTTAAAGGAAAAATATTAATATATTTCAATATCCTAAAGTTGATATTTCAAACTACAAAAGAAAAAAATAGTTCAAGTGTCGTTATCCAAAACAATTGTTCAAAAAAGTTATTTAGTAACCTGAAAATGATATTTTCTTAATATGCATGAATGATCAACAATTATTTTATTATTGCTATTCTGTGAGGAAAATTGAAATATCAATTACTGATTTCGACAGAAGAATTAGAGATTTCAAGTTTTCAAATGCTTTTTTGAATTTTTGCCTGCGATAATTTTTTACCGAGTTACGGTGTTTTGAATATTGTGCACTTTTGAGCGTGTTCTAAAGTTCCTATTCTAATTCTAAGTTTCCTTTTTTTGTTCCATTTTTTGTTGAGTAGTGTATAATAGAACTGGGAGGTTAAAAAATTTAATTCTTGACTTTAATAACATTGTAGACCTACCGAAAGTCAAACTCTTATCATCATTAAATATATTTTATGTAGCTCTTTGCAACTTTGCTTCTTCTTGCAGTTTTAAGGGCCACATTAGGTAGTAGTGTTATCTTCCCTAAAACCTTTTCTGCAATCGCAAATGTTGATAACAGATTATGTTTATCGATTTGTTGCAAATAGGGAACATACTTTGTTATTGCTAATATTGTTAGCAAACTTCCCTCAAATACGCTCACAGACAGCCAATTTCCTATCGAAAACAAATCTTCTAAAATCTTGCTACAAATTTTGAAGACAAAAGGCACCAAACTTGATGCAAATTTTGTTGTATTCAAAGCTGTCAGCAAATTGATGACAAATAAGGAACATCAAATTGTTGACAAAAGTCAAGCAAGACTTACAAATAATTTAACAGCAAGTTGATGAGAAAAGCTGAGCAAATCTTGCTGATCTAACTTTAGAACAAATTATCAACGAAAATTGATTAAGATCTATCATTGTCATACGCGGTCCCGCCACCAGATGGACTCGCTTCTCGTAAAAAGAAAACGCTTAAGAGTCCTAAGAAAACATATGCAAATCAAGTTGGCGAATCCCCTGGAGATTCTTAAACTCTCTCTAATGAGAATCCGAATGTTTTTTTTTATTATTTTTTATTATATGTTTTTTTTAAATTATTTTATATTTAATTATTTTATAACTTTTCGTATTTATTTTAGAATGTGATGTTAATCAATAATTATTTATTAACATCACATTCTAAAATACACACGACAATATTTCAAAAATAAAACTGAATTGTTTATATTTGGCATCATTCTGTTGGGATATCTGGCTACAGATCTCGGCTGTATTTAGTGCCATTCTGTCAGCATATTTAACTATAAATCTGGTCTGTATTTGATGTAGATCTATGATGATATTACTATTACCAAATTTGCTCTGATATTGGCTTCAATTTGATTTCAGAACATGTTCTTCAGATATGGTTTACATTGCATGTCCTATTGCGGACACAGTAGGCTCTAGTTTTAGCACTCAATTCTATTGGAATTTATTGTCAAAAAAGCAAATAATTTTCAAATTGAGCTCTTAAAATATTAAAAAAAGTAAATAAATAGAGTAAAAACAGGCAATTAAAAACCTTTAACACGCGATAATTGATGTGATTATCATACACATTTTGATTGTATCCCTTATGAAAATAAAAATCAGAGCGTAAATCGGATGTAATGGAAGACCCAGTAAACGAGAATGGATTAAAATGGATTGAAATTTTTTTCTATTCAAATGCATATTTTAAATAGCGAATACTTTTTTTTAATTGAATTGGATTTTAATTCAATTGGATTCAATTAGATTCAATTGGATGTAATTGGATTGAAAAACTACATTTCTTATTCCAAATTTTGAATTGAACAGTATTCACAATTGCACAAAAAATTATTTTTAGATTGAAAGGCATAGAGATATGTTCCATGCAATTCCTATAAATGAGTAAAAATGCATTCATTTTAACATTCGTGAATCAATATTTCTGAAAATCTGAATCTATTTCAATTCATTTCAATCCATTCTCGTTTGCTGGGGAATAACAGAAGCGTAAATGAAACTTCTAGAAGGCGAAAATTGAACAATGAAATAAAAGAAGCATTTACGCTTTGTTTACATTTTGATGTTCCAATTTTCGCCTTCTAGAAGTTTCGTTTACGCTTCTGTTACTCTCCCATTACATCCGATTTACGCTCCGATTTTTATTTTCATCAGGGATCTATTACATAATTATACAAAAATAAACGTTTCGACTATATTCAAACCATCCTCAGCAATCATAGCAATACTCAGGGAATGGAAAATTACTTTTTAAAAGTAACAAATTGCAGTTATTCGTTGCCAAGTAACAAGTTGGAAAAGTAACAAGTTACCGTTACTAGTTGCCGATTTTTAAAAGTAACTCGTTACTTGAGAAAGTAACTTTTTGTTACTTTTCCGTCACTATTTTTTAAATCGACGACTGCCAATCACGGGAAGGCCTAGGGCCTCTCTAGTCTCAAGCGCTGTGCACTATAAAAAATTGTGTAAAATTACAACTGTTATATTGGATAATTTTGAGACCCACTATAATAGTTGTAAACGTCCACATGTTTGTAAATTGCAAATAAAAATTATTTCTTAATTTGTAACTAAGCAGATTGTGGAAATACAATTACAATGTGTATATGTAGTTACAGGAACGATATGACAATGCAATATGACAATACATTTCACATTATATGTATATTATTATACATTTAACAACAATACGCAAAATATTTGTTATATTACGTAATATTACTAAAATTTGGATAATTACAGAAAATATTCAAAATATCCTACTATTTACATAATTTTTAATATAAAATAAGATATATTTACACAATAAAAGCAAATTTACATAATTTTTGTGGAATTACATAATTTCTGTAAAATTGCAGGATTTTTTATATTTACAGGATTAATCATGTAATCTATTAATTTTCATCTATTATATGTATAAATTTAAGAAATTTTTTTACAGTTAAGTGGCTTGTGTCCAATCATGTGCAAAGTAACGATAAAAGTAACTGTAAAATTCGTTACTGTTACCAAAAAAATGTAACTTCGTTACCGTTATAGTTATTAAAGAAAAAAGTATGCAGTTACTAGTAAAGTTACCAAAAAAGTAACTTATAACTGTAACTTCATTATAAGTAATGAGTTACTTCCATTTCCTGGCAATACTTGATACCAATCCGATATTCATAATGTCAAAGAAATCGAGTGCAGCAAGGTGTAAGCAATGTGAGACTTCCTTGCTACACTCAATTTCTTACTCTTTTACTCTTTTGTTTATCCAATAGGTAAATTACCACATAGTTTATCTGAAGATGGAACAATCGATCCTTAATATAGTTAACAAAGTGAGGAAAATGCACTTTTTCATACAAAAATATAAAACTCTGAAGAAAAAGTGTTTAAAAGAAAAATATATTTCAATATCTTAAAAAAAATTGACATTTCAAACTACAAAAGAAAGGAATAAATTCAAATGTTAGTTGTCTAAAAAATTTAGTTATTTAATAACTAAAAATGAATATTTTTTTAATATGCATGAATGATTATAAATTGAAAATATATTGCATTTACGTTTTAAATAATACATTTTATTATTGCTCGTGTTAAAAAAACTTAGGTATAATTTATTAGTAAAATGTTCTTTATAACACATTACAAAAAAATAACATACACCCAATATATAATATTATATTACAGACAACATTTAACATGGCATGGGTGTAAAAAATTTCGTGTTTATTATTGAAAGTTACAATACTGCCTTTACCCGAGGTGTCCGAATGACGTCTGAAACCTTTTGAACATTATTCAGAATGATGACCTGGATAATATTTGTCAAGATCAAGGCCGTTTTCATTTTTACATAAAAATGAATTTTTAGTGCAAAAATGAAAATAAGAGGAACAATCTCAAATAGCCTTGATCTTGACAAATGTTATCCAGATCATGATTCTGAACAACATTCAAGAGATTTAGCCATCGATTGGACACCTTGAGTAATGCTAATGCCGGTGATACCGTAACTTTTAAGTCTTAACTCGAAAAGTTTTTAATAAAAAACAATTTTATCAAAGCGTTTTAAAAACTCTTGAGGTATACGCGAGAATTTGTAATGGAAAATGGAAGGTTATATTTAAAAAATTTTAAATGATCTTTGGCCTGATCTTAACGACACCCAAGGTCAAATTAATGCTATTTTATATCCCCCTCCGAACCATATAGCTTTTGTCTGAAATATTTTTCCATATTTTTCCATATTTTTCGAGATATTTGCCTCTGTTAAGATTAAAATGAATCATCTGACACTTGGTATATAGATAAACATATTATATATACACATTATATATACACATTCACTCACTCACTCACACACACACACACACACACACACACACACACACACACACACTCATTAACAAAATTATCACACATAAATTTATACCAAAATTTTGCATAATTTCAAATAAGCATAACTCTATGAAAAATCTTGCGATAATTTTGTTGACGAGTGTATGTGTGTGTGTGTGTGTGTGTGTGTGTGTGTATGTGCGTATAGATAATGTGAGTAAAAATAGGTATGATTAAGTTATAACGTTCTCAAAACATGGTGAGATTTCTAATCATTTAAAACTGTGTTCTAGAACAATTTAGTACAACGAAATCAAGGCGGTCTTACAATTCGTGCCGATTCGAGCGGTACGGCAACGTCTCTCAAGGGATGGATTCATAATAATCTCTTCACAGAAAACTTCAATAAGCCTGCATTGTAAGTACAGTGTTATAATGTTTATAAAAATCAGTAGTGACACTGTGGATCTTCAGGTTCGTTGAGGGTCGTCAGAGCAGTCCTTATCAACAGATGACTATATTCAGAAATTATTTCACCAAGAATAACGCTCCGTATGACAATAACATCATTTTGAAGCAAGTGGTCAGCAACATGACATTCAATTACTTGCATGGAAACCTTGGTATGCATTTATTGGAGATTTCGGGATTCGAGAAGGTCCGTTCACAATTCTATCAAAGCACATCTCACAACGGCTTCTACAAGTGAGCTACTCATTAATTTTTTTATGTCTTCCTTTATGTTCCTTTATGTTTCATCACGTGCGAAAGCTATTTACGTTATAGAATATTATAAAATTATTCAGGTGCAATCGGAAGAAATGAATATTTATAACTTTGTAGAAACTACGCAGTCGATCGTGAAGGCCGTAGCACTATTATTGCTGGTACACCCGGTCAGCAATATGTTGATAATGTGTTTTTTAATCCCGACAATGATTATGAAATGCAAACGACGAACAAATCTCAGTAAGATAAAACGAATTTAATCGCAAGATAATTAATTAAAAATTTTAACATTCATTAAACAAATCACTTATTTAGACAACTGGAAATTTGGAGATCTCACATAGACGCGCGGCACAATTGGTGGGGTTACAATGAAACCTTAGCGGTGGCTGGACGCATCAGAGACCGTGAAGATTCATTTGAGCTGTTACAGGTGGATTATCAGCCTTTCCATATGAATAATAAATCGGTATTAAATGGCAAGTGTCCACCCGCCTGGGATCTTGTTGGTGACACGTGTTACATATTGATCGGCGCACCGATGGACTTTTATAGTGCGCGAGATTTTTGCAGGGTGAGTTATTTTAATTAAGTGTATGATATTTAATCTGTGTCTCTTAATATCATATACTTAATCTCTCATGCTTCTTTATTTCATATTATTTCATATTGTTAAATTGTCTTTCTTTTACGCAGTCGGCAAATGCGTCGATGCCATTCATCATGGGAGATTATCTGGAACTCTGGAAGTTCGCGCGTAAGCAACAGGAGAGATTCGATTATTCAGAACGTGTATGGGTGCAACAATTGGAACGCGTGGATCAATGCACGATGTTTACGTATCAGACCATTGAGATTGATCATTGCGCGCAACCTAATTTGTTTATTTGTGAAATCGGTATGCAGAATATCATAACGATCCAACTAATATTTTAATAATTATTTCTGAAATATTTATAAAATGTTTCTAAAGTCTCAAAGCAACATTTAAAAAATATTTCAGTATCTATAGGATAACTCCGGTATATACGCTGCATCTATTTAAAATTTAATTTATTAAATATTGTTTACTATGTTTATAGTATAACGAACTATATCAGTAAAAACTTTGTACTGTCTACTATGAAAAAAATATTACAAATTCGAAATATTTATATTTCCCGCGCGCGTATTAAAAAATAAACTTTTTTAAACCCTTGCATTTTTGCCATATATCCCATAGGGATGGGATATATGGCTATTCACAGAGGGAGGGGAGGGAGGTATGTACAGCTCATGAAAAATTTACAAATAATGCATATAAATAAAACGTATAATGATATATATATATATATATGTATATTAGGTGTACAACTTTGCTTCCGCCGTTTTTTTTCCGAAATTCGAGGCTTTATTGTAAAAAACTGGTTATACATTTATGATTCAAAGTATTGTCCATCGCTGGCCACTACTTTCTCCCATCTTTCGGGCAGCGTACGACTCCCGCGTCGAAAAAACTGGTCATCTTTTGAGGCGATCCACGAATCGATCCAATTTTTTACTTCTTCATAAGACTGGAAGTCTTATGAAGTATCGGAAGTCTTATGAAGCACTTCCTCCTGCAAATGACGAGAATTAGCGAGATTTAGTTTGTAAACTGACATTTTCAATCGAGAATAACTTTATGATGCAGACACAAATCGACTAATGTTTCTATGGGGTTATGTTGACAGATGCCCAAGTTTATTGTATGACGTCTATAATCTATTTATTTCGACCACCACTTATCGCTAAAGCCATCTATAGGAAAACGGCGGAAGCAAAGTTGTACACCTAATATATAATATATATTGGGTTATTATATATATATATATATATATATACACATACATATATACCAACATACATGCATATTCCGAAAAATTAATTCTCCTAAGAATATTAGATTTCCGAATTGATTTTTAAATAGAATTATACTTTTGAAAAAACATTTCATTTACTTTCACTTAGGAATCCAATTTTTAAGACTTTTACGTCGTATATTTTATCGTAGATGGTTTTTTTTTACTCACAAGAAATACAACTTCATCGTGCCCATCTGTTGGCAGGGATACGTATTACTCACGAGTGAGTATCCTTACGTAAGTAAAAAAAACCATCTGGGTTAAAATATACGACGTAATATTTTGAGCGAGTTTAATAGTACATGCAAAAAATGTTCTTATAATATTCTGAACATTCATTATCATTTGAGCATTCTGTGAACATTCTTCTACTATTCCAAAAACCTTATATGCATATACAGAACATTTGGAATACAAGTCGAACATTTTATGAATATATTTAGTGTTTACATAGCTGAGCGGTAATAAAATAAAAAGAAATATATAAGCAAAAAAATCATAAAAAATCATTTCATCTTGACAGATCCCAGAGTCAACATCGATCCTCTGTCTTGGAGGAAAGATATCGTTGCGGTGGGTGTTTTGGGAGCTGTTGGCGTTGCACTCGCATTGCTAACTGCGGCGATCGTATTGTGGGCGTCCAAGTCGAAGAAGCGTAAGCTTGAGAGACTAGAGCGACGTAACTCCATCAGGCAATCCCTACATTCTCTGCGATCGGTTGGCTCCACATCCGGGTTCACGGAACTCGCTTATCGCCGAAAGCCTATCGCGGTAAATATGAATTGTGATCAGTGTGACAACCGAGCACAAATAAATGCAAATGGTTTCTAGAATTAACGTGCATAATAGAGATTAAAACTGTATAAATTATGTTAATTGAAGATTTTAAATGTGTAAATGGTCTAATCTAACTTTAAAGAAGTTAAGAAAATTAGTACTCCTAGTTTAAAAGAAATTTTATAATATTTTTAAGAACTTGCTTGTCACATTTTAATTAATGCATTTTCTGAAAAAAATACTTTAAACTTTTTTAGATTTATAAGATTTCTTTAGAAATTATAAAGTGAGAAATCTTAGAATATTTCAAAATTTATACATATGAAGAAATCTAAAAAATTTTTAAAACAATTGTACAGAAATTCTGAAATTACATAAAAGTTCTTTAAAATTCACATAAAAGTTCTGAAAAATTATATAGAAGAATTCTAGGAAAATTTTTTAAACGGGACATCTCTAAATAATATCTAAATAATCTTTTTTTACATATTTCAGACCAAACATTCCACAGATACGCTGAACTCAAATTATAAACGCATGTTGAACGGTGGCAGTCTAGACTCAATGGACAAATCACAACTGAACTCTTCAATAGAGGATAATCAGAGTTACGATGTGTATGAGGCTCATAATCCACGATATTCGCCGAGCACGAGCGACTTCAAGAATACGGTGCAGAAGTACAGTGCAGCGCAGAGTGTCGATAATCCGGTGTTTGACCTGGCATACCGTAATGAGGGCTTCCGCAATCATTCTACTTTTGCAGCAAGGAACGGTACTGCCGACGGCGCCGTCGCCGCCGCCGCTTCTAACTGGTCATCGCCAAACATACAGTCGACATCAGTTGATGAAAGTCCTACAGTGTATGCCAACAATGAGAGCTCATCGTATCTCAACAATACGTCTACGCTGCCGTTGCATTCCAGTATCGCGCTTACCGATTCCATGATCGAATTGAAACGCGATATCGAGGCATCATCAGGCGTTTATGATCCTATGGATTACTTAAAGCCTCCTTACGACTCGACTATGTTAACTCCGAGTCAGGCGTCCGAGCCCGTTCCGGAATACGCGTCGGACTTTCAGCCACCAGTACCACCACATCCCTATCATTACGAAGCCGAGAGCAGACCTAGGAGCGAGGCGCTGTTGGAGACCAACTTCGACACGGGTGAAGAGAAGCCGCTACGCTCGAAGAGCGAAGTCTTACTCGAGACTAATCTGGACGCGTTCCTAGTCAATGAGCCCACGGAACTCACGCAGCTATCGGCGGCCACGCGAAGCAAGAGTCAACCATTAGAAACGGCAATGTAGCTTTCCGGACGTCGGCGACTCTTAGACCAGCAGTCCACAATTCGGGCACATCCGAAGTGTATGCCAAATCTTGTCTTCTAGCGACAAGCACTGCCAGCTATTGCACAATAAGAGATTTTCAGTCCGTTTATAACAATACGCTGCCGACTTCCAACTCGTGCCATTTCCAATGGTCGTGAACTGAATATTGGAATATACACGCACAGTAAATCCCCGTTGAAATGACCGGGAAGTGAAGCGGATATTCATTGTTAGATACAGAAACTGACTCATTATTAGCGGACTCATTATTAGCGGACTCATTATTAGCTGTAGAAACTGATTAAGAGTTTTATTATATTATGAAAAACCCTGCGGGTTTTAAAATTATAATTTGATATGTTAAAGAACATTACGATAATTATTTGTAACACGTATGCTGAATTGACATAGAACGTTCTCTAGCAAGAGATACAGTTGACATTATAACACAATGAATCGTTGCATCTTTGCCAATATTAAACAAAGATGAAATGATTCACTGTGTTACACTATCTTTTGCTGGAAAACATAATCAGTAAGTATGCGAGTTTTACATGAATCCACCGAATTCGCGCTTGGGATGAATGCATACTCTCTAAATCTCGCAGAGTGGACTTATATATCATTAATATTAAAGTAATTGCAATAGTTACTATAAGAAAGGCATTCATAAGCTAGGAGTAAATTTTTAGAATGGCTCAAATGTTTAGAATGGCTATACGTGGCGCTGCCTATGCAATAATTTATTTCACTTTAATTAGAGCAAAGAGCGTTTCGCGAAGCTCTCAACAGATGTGGATGTCTTCTCCTAAGAAAGATTCAATCCGTATAGAAAGCGAAAATGATTAGACCAATTCCGTGCATTTGCAATTCTGCACATTATGGCGATAATTTTTTTTCAGACGACTACTAAATCAATCGATCTACCTTGTGAGAATATAAAGAAGGTAGGCGAACTAAAAATGACAAACGTAAGAATAATATCTGTTGAACATTTCAAAAAATGTATACATACTGATCTATATACGTCATTCTTTTACATAGGAATTCACTCCAATTTATAGAATGCAATTTATCTATTAATTAGAGTAACAAACGAAGTGCATGGGCTCAATTTTCACTTCATTACACATTGCATTTTACTCACTTTGAATGATATTTCACTCTTCGAGTTTTACAGATACAATACTGCGTAAGATTTTCATGGAAATCACCCATCAAGACTTGGGCTTAACAGATAGTGTTCATATACGTACAATATACATATATTAAAAATTTAACATTTTTGCTTTAAATCTTTATATTAATAGAATTATAAATATGTATAGTTGAAATGGACTGCATTCTTTCTTCACACAATGTGGTAAAGATCTCAACATTCAATTCAGTCAATCGTTAATGACTTTCGGAAGTTGATTCATTCACGCACTTATTGCGTGTCTTATGTAGGTATTCTAAAGAGGATGACTGTTTATTACAATGACGCGTGTTACTTAATCCCAATTACATCCACAAACGATATCTAATAAAACACTAATTTAGTATACTGTTAATAACAAGATCATCGTTAATCATTAAATGACCCAAGTGAATCTCCAGTCAGGAGACAAAGCTTGTTGATAATTTTTAAGAAAAATCAATTGTTAAGAACCTTTTGCGATACAATAAACATATATAACGTTATGCGTATTGTCTGATAATAAATATTGTCAGAAGCGGAGCGGAGAGATACATATTAATATTTTAACGTAAAGATATAAGTAAAGAAAATTAATTCATTGTTGACCTTGTTGCAACTAAGCTGTGAAAATAAAAGCAGACCTCATATTCGTAATTGTACAATCTCATTGCTCTTTGTTTGACAAATGAGGTGTATATCAGAGCAATCAAAGTTTCTCCTTATGTTAAAAGTATACAGAGAAAAAAAATAAGTTTTCTTTTAATCCGACATCTTGTGTTAATAAGAAGTAGGGGTTACCAAATCTGTTGCGGATGCACGGTGTTACACTGCCAAGCATATCCAACGTTCGTACGTAACTCTTACGAGTATTAATAGAATAATATTATAGATTAATTGCTTTAAGGGTATCTACGTTACAAAGCTTAGCTGTAAGTAAATACATTCTATTTATCGAATACTCGCGCAGAGATAGGAATTTTCGAGCGTTTAAAAAAATTTGTATGGTGAATACAAATTTTTTTGCAATAAAACATTTGTATTCACCATACATTCTTTCTCAGAGATAACTTTACGCACTATTTGATAGACTTATACCGTTTTCATTAAGTAAGCGAGATCTCACCGATCTTGTTCTTACCGAAAGCATTTTTATATACCTGCCTTTAGTAAAGTATCCGTCCATACACGTAGATTTAGCGTGATCGTGATCAATCGCTTTTTTACGAAGTGAACGATAAATAGGTACCTAAGCAAAACTTCGCTATGTAAAGATCACCTAGCGAATCCGCAGGATTCTTGAAAGAAAAGGAATATATGTATATGTATGCATGTGATATGTATCTATTAGCAGAACGCAAAGGCACTATTTGCACAACGTCCGCAATGTATATTTCTAAATATTTGCAACATTTTATTAAGATTTTAATCAGAAGTTAATTGTCGTGCCACGAGTTCTCTCATAGGTATCTGCCAATCTATCGAATGTATCTATGGAACTTGATGTCACAAGGCTGCCTTACTTGTACATGTTGCAGAAATGAGATAAATAAATTGAGCAAATTCAAATAATCAAAAATTACAACAATAATCTCACTGCATTCCCATTGCTATTCGTTTTTTAGAAAACTGTTCTACATTGATTATGAAAGAAAAACGTATGGTATAATAATTATGGTGAATAATTTTTAATGATTTCTAATCCTTTTCGAAAACTATGTAGTGTTTCTGAATAAAAATATAAATATAATTATTATTAACATTATAATAGTATTAATTATAATAATGAAGTTCTTGACCATAATTATTTTACCATACAAATTATAATCACAAATATTAAACACTTTTCTCTCAACGTAGATGTAATATTGTGATTTTTTGTTCCAATTCTAAACTATAACATTCTTTTCGACAAAAAACGTTTTCTATGCTATCTTATATAAACATGTAATCTCCCAAATTTAAAACAAGCTGGCCAGACCTCAACTATAATAAAATTTAGAAATGTAAAAAATGAATGTGGTTATAATTTCAAAAATATGAAAAGAAAGAACATAAAGAACCACAGCACAAGATGTAATTAGTGATATTTAATTATTCTTGCATTACGAATTACAATAAAAACATTAAACGTTTCGGCCACAATCTGGCCATCTTTAGTAAATTAATAATATTCTTAAGACACAGAGTTTCATCAAGTTAGAATAAAATTCAACCGTCGTGTGTTATAATTGTAAAAATCGTGTTTGCATCAATGCGACGCTGCTTCATATAATAATGTTAGAACGTCAGAAGTCATATAGTGAAAAGTGTAGAACGAGAATTTCCAGATTCTAATTTACAATAATTTATT